TAAATTAAATATCAATTTTCATACAAATAAGTGGGTGCCTCTTTGTAGGATATTTGGGAGGGTAGAGCAATGATGTGATAGGGCAATGAATAGACAGGTCCGACATCCTCATTTGACAGTGACGTGCGAACTTGAAATAACATCATTCGGTAATCAATCTTATTTAAACATAATTAACCTCATCGATCTGTTGCATACACATGCTTTCAGTTCATTTGGTATTATTATTAAATAAATAAATAAATGGCTCATGAGGCATGGCCATCTATACATAATGCAATCAAATACATTTTCCCCGTATATCACAATAAGTTGAACTCAAGTACGTGTTATTATTTGTTACAAACTTTGTATTGGTACCAAAAGAGGTTGAAGTGATGATGCTGGAATTAAAAAGTATCTAATTGAGGAGATTAAGTGAAGAAAACTATGTGATTAATTAGGAGAAATGGAGATGATGGCGTGGGGGAAAAGCCAAAATGTGAGGAAGAGACCAGGATTAAGTGGAAAATAATATGTTGGTACTGGCTGCCCCACTTGTATTCTGCTTTTTGGAGCGAGTCCCATTAACATCCACACGAAAACGATAGGAACAACTGTGATGTCACAGTTCCCTCTCCTCCACTAATTAATTCCCAAACAGTCATCTCATCAATCATCAGTATTGTAATGTTCGATTTCTACCCATATTCTCATCAGCAAAATTATTCATATCATACCAATAATAATACACTCCTAGTCACCTAATATAATATTTGACTGCATTTATAGCTTATGTTTTTTTTTCAAAGTAACTTATCTAACTTATATATAATTCAATATTATATAGGAGTATTTTAAAGAAGTCGTGTCACGCTTGTTAAAATCAAGTAATTTATTTAATTTTTCATTTCATTTAATTAATTAAGTTGTTTTCATTAGAAGAGTGTTATTTATTTGCCAATGGTCTTGTAACTTAGTCATTTAGTGACATGTAGACTCTTTTTATAAATTAGAAGGTCGCGGGTTAAATTCTCGTTAATTCTTGTCCTTTTAATTCAAAAATAAAAATAGTATTTATTTTCTTTTGTTTTTTTGACATTTTAGGCAATAAGTTGGTCTCATCCACAAGTCAAAGGCATATAATTAAACTACTGTTCATCACAAACAACTTAAGTGTCTGCTAGTGATACAATACATATTTGGGTTAGAGGTATGCTTGGATAATTGAAGTAACTAGAATATTAATGAAATTACTCATATAATAGCTTATAAGTGTGTTTTACATAGTTAAAATAAAATTCATCTCACATATTTATTTTGTATTTTGTTAATTATGATAAGCTGTTCTAAACAAACTTTTACTCTGTCATGGGAGTTAGAAGAGTTAATAATCACACATCCAAAGTCTCATGAAATTAACTAATTTATCTGACTTTTTAAATTTAATCAAATTAGTTAAATAAATCTTATATTAAGACCGGAGGAAATATTATTAGCCAATGGTCTTGTAACTTGGTGGCAAGTAAACTCCTCCTATAAATGAGAGGTCTCGAGTTCAATTTTACTTGTAATCTTAGACTCTTAGTGCTTGTCCTTTTAGTTCAAAAATAAGAGTAGCATTTATTTCTTTTTTTTTGTTGACAATTTTAGGCAATAAGTTGCTCTTATCCACAAGTTAAAAGGCACGTAAACTAGTCATTCATCACACAAAACTTATGTGTCTGTTAGTGACACAAAACATATTTGGGTTATAGGTATGCTTAGATTATTGAAGTAGCTAGAATGCTAATGAAATTAAAATTTGCTCCAAATTACATAGCTTGCTCGGCTGCACACAGAGTACTATTTAAGCATAGTTTGGATTTATTTATATAAGAGTTTATAAGTATGTTTTAAGTAAGAATAAAACTCCTCTCATATATTTGGTATTTTATAAATTAAGATTAGCCATCCTAAACAAACTTTTTTTTTTTGTCATGAGAGCTAGAAGAGTTCATAAGTCGCACATCAAAAGTCTCATGAAAAAAAACTGCAAGTTTTTAGATCTAAGAAAGTCTTTCATTCCAAAATGGTCTGTTGATGCGTAGTGTAAGCATTTGTTGGGGATTATGATTAAACACCTAAAATTATATAACCAAGAAATTCAAAACAAAACTTATTTCACTCGATCTCGTATTTTAGGAACCACGGTAGGTAGTTGTTTTCAAAGAACTCGAAACAAGGACAGAGAGAAAAAGAAGGGTTGATGAGGTAAGAGGGGCCGTGGAGGGAGAGAAAGGGGGAGGCGTGGAAGCGGAGAGGAATAAGATTGAGTGTCAGTCAGGGTTATGTCTGGAGTCAGTCTGAGTCTCAGTCAGTCGTTCCCTCAACACACACACTCTCTCTCTCTCTTTGAGGTTTCGGTCAAACTCATACTTCCAAGTCCCAACCATACGTTAATCCCATTCCCACCTCCTCGCGCGTCCACCTCACCTTCCTCCTTCCCTCTCTTGCTTCTCACCCTACCGCGTATGTACATTGGGAAAGCAAGAAACAAGCGAACGATTGTGTATGGAGGTTACTTCGGTGGTGTTTGGATAGAAACCAAACCATATTTCAGAAGTGCTTTTACGGATTACGAAGTAAATATGTGAAGGAGGTTACTTCGTTTTGCGAAAAGTGCTTCTGAAACCATGGTTTTGGAGCACCCAAACAGGCCCTTCCTCAAACTGATGCTGCAGCAGATCGCAGCCCCCCATGACATGAGAAGAAAACAATGGCGGCAGATGTGTGAGGGAACAGTCAAGTTTCAGAGAGCTACAGTAACATACTGTGACACTGCCAGATGCTTTCAATGAACCCTCTTGCCATTTTCTCCTCTTTTACTTACAAATGCTGTTATATTTGACTTCCACTCAAATCATAAAATTTCTACGTATTCCTATTCATAGTCCAAATTCTTATCTGTTGTTAACTCACATTTAGATATCTAAACTCCTCCTGCTAATTCACATTTTGAATCATCATTATCAAATCTGATAAGTTAGATATATATACTTGTCCGACCTTTAATATATGATATAATTACTGAGTTGATTTTGATCCTATCTTGTATTGATCAATTTTTCTTAAATTATCCCTATAGATGCTCCCTCAATCATGATTAAGTAGAAGAGGAAAAAAGAATATTAAGAATAATGATTATGGTGTTTTGAAAAAAAAAATCATACTTTTTATAATTAACTAACTTATTTAATTTTTTAATTTAATTAAATTAATTAAACAGATCTTATAATAAAGATCCAAGGAGTATATATAAAAGCATTTCCCATGAAGCAAGCAAGAGGAAATCCATTATAATTCTAGCAAGCTTTTATTTATTTTTCTTGTCACAGGTCATGTCTTTTTTACCATGTTGTTACAAAACTATGCCTGAAAAGTGAGAGCATGTCATGTAAAATCACATAAAATTCCAAGTGAGAAAGAAATGTATTTTTAACTCTTTTATTTGTCCGCTCATGAGTTTGGAAGTTTGCTCTTCCCTTCACAGTGGCCAACAAGTGTCTTTTGCTGCTTCCACCGTAGAAATTATGTCTCTTGTTTTAGCTTTGGTCGGTTATTTATACTGTTACTTTTACCTTCGCCTATTGTGTTCTGTATTGATACCCCATCAGGTCAAATTGTCAAAGTAAAAAAAATATACTAGCTCCGGTCCTAATTATAAGACCCAATTAATTAATTTGAGGAGATTAAGGAAGTAAGTTAAGTTAGTTATTTGTAACAAATAAGTATTGTCATTCCTAAAATATCCTTGTTAATTAAGTGTGTTGGTTAGAACTATCATTATTAGAAAGACTATCTTGGAAAAAAATACATAAATATGAGAGACAAAATAGATTGGAGTCTTATAATTAGGACCAAATTAAAGTCAAACGGAGTCTTATTAAGGACCGGAGGTAGTATTGTTTTATTTCTGTTTGAATAAAATTTACCTTCGTTCACCCAAAAAAAAAAAAATTGACATTCTTAGGATCCTAGTCATCCGTGTCGTTCATGAACTTGTTTTTCCTTTTTCATTACTGTCCTTTTTTATTAAAAAGATAGGTAAGATTATAAATGAGATTAAACTTACTATCTCCCACTTATAGTGAAGTTTTATATTACTATGACTATTGGTCCGTTGTATTTTTAAATACATCAAAAACACCTTTTCCGTGACACATGCAATTAAGAGGTATAACACAAGGAGCCTCACAAAACAACATTGCTTTTTCATGCTTTTCTTTCATGCTTTAGTTGCAAAGAGCGTTCATCAAAGAAACAGCAAGAATGGAAAGAGATTGCTTAACTATTTAGGCATAGTTAATAACCGACATTTTCCTACAGTGATTTTTTTTTCAAATGAACTTTATCAATTTCTATCTTTTTAAACACTTTTAAAAACTAACGTGACACATTCAAACAATAGTTTGTTAAAAGTATGTTTGAAAAGGACTTTTGGATTTCCAAAATAACCAAACACACAGCAAGATTCCATCGCTACTTTAGAGACCGGGCTGCTAATAACACATCCACTTGATTTCCCCAAAAAAAACAGAGAAGAAAGGATAATATTCTCTTCGGTTTGTTCCTGGCATATCTTGTTCAAAAGAAACTTGGGCCTTACTTTATAATTGTAATTACTGAAGCCCCTCAAAGTTGATCATTAAATTCAATCTTCTAAGGAGAAATGTGATCGTCCATTGACAAATAAATGAATAATGCACTCTTCATTCAATTCACTGGTTCATCTCATAACCACCTAATGGCCACTGCATTAATTGATATAGTTATGAAGCCCAATTGGAACAGTCTGGGTCAATTGGGCCTTGTGCAGCGTATACGGCAAGTCGTTTTACAACTAAAAACTTCTTTCTCTGCTGTCACTCTCCCGATATGCCTTGTAAGAAAAGGGAAAAGATGTAAAACGCAAACTGAATTAACAACCTTCTTGCAAGTATACTGTTAAGCATACAAATACATGGCAGTAGATTAATAGGTTTTTTTTTTTTTTTGGGGGTGGGCATTGAGCACTGGATTTAATACAAGTAAGTGGCCATGCATGGCCTCATGTATAGTCCAACACAGCAATTTAAAGCTATTACCTCAAAGTAGGTACTTTGATTTAAACCATAGTCCCTTCCCTAGAACCAACAGTACTATTATCACTCTTGCCTTCATAGCAATCAGCCACCACACCCACCTTCTGAACATTTTTGTACGAATACCTTCTTGCGAAGAACACAAACATGAACAGGTTCACCGTGGTGATCCCTGCAAGTAGCCAGTAAAACCTATCCAACCTACTACTGTTCAGATCCTTCCCAAACCAACTCTTGCCTCCACTCTTCTCCGTCGCATGATCCACAATAGTTATCAGCAAACTGCTTAAGAAATTCGCAGCTCCAATCACACTTAAATACAGTGCTATCCCCAGGCTTCTCATTGAATCTGGCACTTGGTCGTAGAAATACTCTTGCAGCCCCACAAGTGTAAACCCATCTCCAAAACCGATTATCAGAAACTGAGGGGCTAACCAGAAGACACTCATGGAAAGTGGACCTTTCAGTGGGTCTTTTTCTAAGGTTCGAAGCCTCTTTTGTTCAACCAGGGCTGCCACTATCATTGTGGCGATGGAGAATATCATGCCGAAGCCAATTCTTTGCAGGATGTTGATTCCTCGTTCGTTACCGGTGAGTCTCCGCAGGAGGGGTACGAGGATCTTGTCGTAGAAGGTGATGGAGACTATCATGCCTATGGCTGCGAGAGTGAAGATGGAAGCTGAGGGTATCTCGAAGTCGTTGATTTTTCTGTTCATGGAAGCTCCTTGTTTGATGAAGAAAGTGGAGGTTTGGGCGACGCAGATTCCGAAGGGTAAAGTGAAAACCCAGATGGGAATCATGTTGATGATGAGCTTCATTTCTTCCACTTTGGTTACGGTCGCTAACTTCCATGGACTCTGCTTCTCAGCTGATTCTCCTTCCCTTGGATCAACAATTGCTGCCTTGTCCAGAAACCTGTTGCACCCACGTATTCAGTTAAAATTTACCAAAAGCTAGTCCAGTTTGAGGAATTTTTTGGTATTAGATTTGCTTTTGACTTTTTGGCTAAGCTTGATCCATGGGCATATTATTAAATTAAGCGTTTACCACAGTGGCCTTTTGTTCTTGGGCCCTTGCAATCTAGTAAGCTCCTTGCAGGAGCAACAACAAAGATATGAACCATTTTGGGCTTCAGTAATGGGTTTGGCCTCTAGCTTTCAATGTTGGGCCCAAGATTAATGGATGTGAAGGCACATTATTTAAAAACCTGCCGAGTTTGAGTATATATTCCCGGCCCACAAACAAGTATGATATAAATTAGTGTCATGTTATATTGCTTTTTTAATTTGCTGATTTTTTTTTTTGACCTTGTTAATTTGCTGAATTGAAAGCATTGTACTTACTTGAGTTTGTGGGTGTGACACAAGACCCTTCCACCGGCTCTGCTAGATTTGGGGACTTCATACAGCTGATCAGGGAGGGAAGGACATGGGAGCTTTCTCTTGGAAATGGCAGCAACAAGAACCTGCAACAATGGAGTCAAGGGACTCCCAGTGGGTCTCCTATAGCGATAAAACGGCTTTCCTGCTATGAAAATGACAAGCGAGAAGGCCATGACCCCTGTGAGGATAAGATCAGCAACACCCCAGTTCACATGGTCCTGTACATAAACAATGAAAGTCACTCCCAGAATGAGGCCACTGCAAAGACCACAGCTCCACCAGTTGAAGAAGGACATCTTCTGCCTCCTCTCTGTGGCATGATCGTCGTCGAACTGGTCGGCTCCGAAGCTCTCCAACGAAGGTTTGTGACCTCCAGTTCCAATGGAGAGCAAATAGATGGCAAAGAAGAAGGCCACCTCGTGTGCCATTCTTGGTTTGGTGCATGCAGTAATAGCAGTATCAGCGTCACATGGCCTGAGGGCTGGCAAGAACCATGACAAGCAAAGCAGAACCAAACCCTACATATGGACATATATTATATATTTGAGTTTTGTGATTAATTAGAAAGATTGATGTGAAAATGAGAGGAAGAAAGAGAATATATACGAGGATATAGAAGACGCAGGAAGCGAAGACAGTGAAATAGCGACCCAAGTAGGCATCAGCAACGAAGCCTCCAAGGAGGGGCATGAGAGTGGTGACACCAGACCAATAGTTGACGTTCCTGGCTGCAGTTTTGAGGTCTTCATGGATCACCTTCGTCAGGTAAAGCACCAAGCTTGTTGCTATCCCGAAGTAGCTCAGCCTCTCGCTGAACTCAATTGCTGCATCAATTATCCATTCATCAACGTAACTTACCAACTCAACGTGCTTTTTAAAAAAAAAAAAAAAAATTGAAGGACAAATACTAACTGCCTGTGATTATAAGTACGATCGAATATCCTCCCGCGTATAGAGGAGTTTTTATGCCACTAAACTACAAGCCAATTGAACATGTTTCAATACTAACCCTTTTTTTCCAATTATTATCCCACATGCGATTCATCTGTGACGCCAAGTATTTCGCGCCCTTATACAGATAAAATGAAATTTTTTATTTTCCACACAGTAATTATTTTTGACATACAGTCAACGCATAAAATTACTAAATAAAAGAAAAAAAGCCCCCGTTGAATTATCTAGACAAACAGAATCAGAATTAGAATTACAAAAATTAGGGAAAAAATAGAAATTTTTTAATTTCTAAGTAAACGTCTATGCTGTAGCTTTAAGTTTTTCTTTTTTAAGTGGAAGTACTGTTCATAACTACCTTGGCCTTCGAAATGTCTCATTCGGGGATCGCCCATGTTTCAAGAACGTCATTTATCTATCGTTGTTTTAGTCCAATCAAATGGATTCCCACCGGGCCACATAATTCAACCATAAATGTCAAAAGTACTGAAAGTGAAGGCCACTAAATAAAATTTGGTAAGAATCCGATGGGTACTTTACTTCCTAGTGGAGATGGATCCCATCCTGAATATTTTAATTTTGATTGAACTTTTAATCTTAATTTTGTTTTACTCAAAATTAATTTCTCAATTCATTCATTCAATTATTATCGCATAACCATTCAAATATTGCCACTCCCATCTCTCCATCCAAAAGAAAAACCCAATTAGAGACATAACCAGGGCTTATAGACAGAAGGAAATCGAGATTAAGAATACAATATAAAGTTTGTATAAATTTTTAGGGAGTAAAAATATATAACACTTACATAATACTACTAAACCAACATATTCATTATTCTCAAGGGACTTGCGTGGCTGCATATATATCTGAATCCTATAAGGTATATATAAATATTCTCACGAAACAACAAATTATTAGACTTAGCTGTCAGTCTTCAGAATCTGTGACTATAGATAGATAGATAGGGTATGATATGAAATGAAGGGGAATAAAGCTATACTAACTAATGTAGACCGCAGGTATCCAATCCTTAAACCTAGTACACACATTTAATTCAGAACATGGTACGCGTCCTAAAAAACGGAGAGAAACCACAGATCAACATTCTAACTGATCGGCTCCATGTACATAATATAATAATCAAGATTTGTGTGGTTGTTGTATCTCGTGACACATTATTTAATACTAAGATTTCCAATAGTGGAAGTGGGAGCCACCACTTTCTATGGTCATGGAGCTCACTAGCTAGGAAATTCAGAGCCATGTCTTTGCAATTGATTCACGCTAATAACCTAACATATTGCAGCCCACAACAGCACGACCAAATATATATATATATATATATATGAACATTATTTATTTGATGTTTTGAACATCTTTTTCAATTGTTGACATCGATTTACAGCCAAGTAACGTGCACATCCAAAATTCTGGCTTTCACATGTGGGATCGATTTTGACTTACTAATTATTATGGGGCATACAATTTTCATAAACAACATAGAACAAGGGTTTTGTATTTTTGGTCCTGTAACAAACAAAAAGAATTTTACAGCCATGATTTCTGCTTATCACATGTCGGCAGGAACAAAAAGGAAGCATTAATCTTTTCTTTTCTTTTTTTGGGGACAGAAAAGGAAGTACTTTGTATATGCGCGCGCACACACACACATATATAACTAATGGAAGTTTAGAGTGGCCTATTTATCGAATAATTCGATAAAAATGTGAAGAAATGTAATAAAACTCTTTCAAGACAATTTATGTTTGTATATTATATCTTGAATAGAAAATTATATGTAACTCAATACTTTCGTTTTAGAATCATTCTCTTATAAATCTTGTATCTGCATTACCAGACCACTTCCCAGACTTGAATTCTAAAGATTGGGATTTTTGTTTTCAAACAGCTTCAAACTCGAATGAAGTATTAACATATTCGTTTCAAATAGGTCAAATATGATGGTTTTGAGTCTCATTCAATTATCAGATTTAGCAGCATATGCTTGAAAGGAGAATAATAGAAAACTTAATATTTTCACTTCTGTATACTTTTCGTGGAGGGGGGAGATAAAGAGAATAAAGTGCTTTACAGATGCGTCTTTTCCCCAAAAGTTAAAAACCATTGGAATTCCTGAAAGTTTATAAAATTCTGCGTGCCAAAAACAAGGAAACCAAAGATGGAATTTTATTTTTCCATAATTATATTCTCATTCTGGCTTATGTAAAGGTCCTGTCACTAACAAAACATCTAATGCTAGCTATCATTCTTCCATTTAAACTACAGTCTTCCTAACCCTTCAATATATCATTTACAGGTCTCCTTTTTCGGGTACAAACTTATGTATAGTCTGCTGCATCCATTATGATTTTCTCACAAGTCACAAACTATATCATGGCCTCCTTCATTTTGACGTCAATTATATCACCATATATATGTGTGCGTGTTATGAGTCTCACATTAGGGAATCTCACAAATGTTGTGGGGTTTATAAGTTCAAGGGGCTCTCCCTCCCAATAGGCTAGTCTTTTGGGATGGGCTCTCTCTTTGGCTTATGCTCGTCACAGTGCACGTGTGTGTACGTTTTAGAACACAAACATGCAGGCTCCACTTAATAAGTAATGCCGTTTAAAAGTAAAAAGTAGAAACTGATATGGTAATGTAAAATAGGCGTCTTGTATTCGTAAAGTAGAGTTTAGGTTGCTGTTGGAACGCTAATCTTTTGTTCCATGTAACATGGGACTCGAAAGAAACAGAAGTAAACCAACCATAGTACAAAATGGAACTTTCTATAAAGACTCAGACAAATTTAAAGAAACCTGGTTATTTGCCACATATTGCTTGACTGGAAAAGGAAAACACAGATATAGCAAGAATTGAATCGAATGTCTGTTGCAAGATTTTAAAAAAGAAAACAGTCGATATTAAAGAGATCATGGTGCATGAGAATATATGAACTAATTAAGCAGGTTGTGGAAGTTGAAATATAGAGCAGAAATTTTACTACAGTGCTGCTTTTCTTGACAACCCAATTAAAAGAGCTAGCTAGCATGAAGAAACTAAGCAAAGTGAAGTATGAGTGGGTATATTCTTACCGATAATGAATAGGGCAGCTTTCCAAGAACCAGTGGAAGCTCGAAGAGGAAGTCTTCCTTTATGATCCAGTGAAGAATCATAAACCCATTTCGTCTCATCAACCTCGACTCCACCACCTTCAATTTCCATTGCTTTCTTCTTCTCCATCTTTTCCAAAGCTTGGTGGCTCAAAAAGCTGAAAAAGCAGAAGAAGCCTAGCCTCTGCTAGCTCAAGCACTCCAAATTAGCTAGGTGTGGCTGGTTTTTTGCACACAAAAGCCCATCTGACCCCTCCTTATATAGGAAAGCATTTGCCTTTTCTGACTCACCAATTTCGATATCACAAAATAAAATTCGTTATTTTTTTATTACAACTAATATAGTTGATATTTTCTCGAACTTTATTCAGCTTAATTATATATATATATATAGATATATTTGGGGATGAACTGCCTTGTTATTCCTAGTTAACATATAAGAATAAAGGAAAACCCCCTTTGAAATTGGGAAGGACTTAAGTAAGGGGTCATTATTGTAAAAGTCAATGTCATAATGGAATAGCATCCATGACCTATCTCCATGGGTCCACATTTTGTTGATATTTTAACCAACCAAAACATAAAGCTGCCACTCACTCACTACTCACACACCTATTTATTTATGCACTTTTATTGTATATAGATATACACGAATTTCTTCAATCAGTTAAATAGACAAAAACTATTTGAGTTAGGGATAAAGTTATACTGCCAATTACTTTATTTTCTGCTGCTCTTACAAATGGCACAATTGATTGGATTCAACTCCCTTAATTTCTCAATTACTATCCATCGTTATATTTTATTGGCTTCTGTAAGTTAGATGAACAAAAAATTCAACGAGGACAATTACTTTTGTTTTGCACCAATCTCATAATGGCGTAACTGACTAGATTCACCTTATTTCTTATGATTATTCACCTTTAACTTTCTAAACAATAAAACGGGGACCTTGGCGAATGAAAAGGACTTCACACTTTAATACAAAGTTGAGCATTTAGACTTTTGTGGACGAGGGGAAAAAAATCACACTTTGAAAATTACCTCTCTTTGGACACAAAAATACTTGAATATGAATTAATTGACGGCAGAGGGATACAAGATAATTGTGTAACAAAAACGAATTTTTTGCAACCTTAATGTGCATGAAAGAAATTACTAAAAAAATTAATTTTGTGATAAGCTACGTGGCGAAGGATTAAATAATATGTGTATTCAATGGATCATGATTTTTGTAAATTGAATTAAAAAAAAGGTCCGTAATTAAACTATCGTTACGAGTTAATGTAATTATTCAAACCAACTCGGCTCAATATATATCGTCACACTCAACAGTAAGGGTCACAAAGTTAATGATCAAACACAAAATCATACCCAATACAAATGCGTGATTTCTTTTTTGTTTTTGAAAAAAAGGGCCCAAGCATATGGAGATGATGTATGACATTAAGTACAGTGGGTTCGATCCCAACTTGAATGAAACGAGTGATTGTGAAGAGAGTGACGCACCCAAAGGCAAATTGAAATGTGAAGTACAAATTGTTAATTACTTGCAAGACTACGTTTCTACATTCATGTATCTTTCCTTACCTCTTTTATTATTAGCCTCAGAAATACACCTTCCTATCTCAAGACTCTCTTAGTATTGTGTGTGTGTGTGTGTGTAGGACATAGTCTTTTTGCTACTCTCTCATAAAGCTTGCAAACTTGCTTTGTTCTGTGACAAATGTTAAATACTGTAAACATGTCAAAGCTACAGGACTTGATTATTCTCGAAACATCATAATTTCATAACCCCTCCACTGTCTTTGTTGCATTTGTGAAGTTTTTGCCTTGCATTAGTTTTTCGATTTTTTCTGTGATTCTGATGTTGCCCGTAAACAGTATTCCTCAACGACGTGTGAGTCTTTTCAATAAAAGTTTCAGAACCAATTTACAAATTCCCGGAAAACAACGGTTTGGGGTGGCTCTGATTTGAATTTCCTATTTTTTTCCTAATGAATTTTTACCTTTTTTGTTTTCTTTGGCAGTATATATAATAGGGCACCCTAATGTTATTTTTCAATATTATCCAACATTTTAATCTTATTTATGGTTCATCAAGTACTCTAATACTGTTTTTTTTTTTGCGCATTCAAAACTTTTTGATATTATTTTTTATTTGATCTTATTTATCGTTTATGGTTTCAAATGCACTAAAACTTAATGCTGATTACGTCATAAATAAGATTAAAATGTTGGATATTACTGAAAAGTTTGCTAGATGCTACTCTTCCGATCCTTAATATAAGATCCATTTAACTAATTTAATTAGATTAAGGAAGTTAGGTAAGTTAGTTAATTATAAGAAATGTAATATATTTTTTCTAAAACACCGTAATCATCTTTCTTAATACCTCATCTCTCTCTTCTACTTGATTCTGGTTGATGGAGTATCCATAAGGGTCATTTAGAGAAAATTAATAAATATGAAAAATAGGTCTTATATTTAGAATAAAAATTAACTCAACAATTGGGTCTTATATTGAGGACCGGAAGAGTATTTGAAAAAAAAGTATCTTAATGTAAATGCCGATACCACGGAGTTACACAGAAAAGGTGTTTTAATCTTATTGAAGCAGAAATATTCCTCTTCACGTTATAAGTTCAGTAAATTAAAAGGATTCCCATTTAAGTAATCGATGACTACTCACTCCACCACCCCGGGCCCTCGGATATAGACACATGGATAGTGAATTATATTATATTTTTTATTTGGACACCTAACTCCCACGAAACAGGGTGACACATGTGATTGCCAACCTTTAGTAAGACAGATTAATAAACTAACAAAAGATAATTAGGGCATATGATCACCCCTATTCCAATATTCAAAAGCCCTTCCTCCCTTTGCTTGTCCATATGCATTAAAGACTTTTGGAATTGAAATTATATTTATCTACTTGTGATTCGGATAAGTATTTGATTTGTTAATTTTGGTGCAAGACAAAAGTATTTGATTTGACATTAAATGAAATAGAGTATTAAAAAATATTTGTTTGGAGAATAACAGTATAAAAATAAAAGGTAATGCTTAGCTAATGATGATGAAAACAAGTTAAAGAGTGAATGAAAATAATACTTCTCCTATCTTTAATATAAGACATATTTAACTAATTTAATTAGATTAAAAAGGTTAAATAAGTTAGTTAATTATAAGAAATATGACATGCTTTTTCTAAAACACTATAATCATCTTTATTGATATCTTCCCTCTCTCTTTTATTTAATTATGGTTGAGAGAGTGTCCATAGGGATAATTTAGAAAAAATTGATAAATATGAGAAATAAGTCTTATAATTAGGACTAAAATCAACTCAACAATTAGGTCTTATATTAAGAACCGGAGGAGTACATCCTTTCTCATTTTCTTTAGTTTTGAGTATTAGCAAACACGGAAATAAATGGGACATTCTAAGGTTACTCATACAAAAATTTCTTCTTTTCATCGGACCATGGCTACTAAAACATAAATATAAATAAGTTTTTTGCTAATTTAGAAAATGGGTTTTTGAGTGGATTTTTAATATCCAAATATAATTTAATCGTATAATGTCAAAAACGTTATATGAATGAAATTTCAAATTTCAGAATTTGTCTCTCACACAGACACAAACCAAAATACTTATATTAATATTTTTTTCATGGCGTAAAATCCACATTATTATTTAGAAAAAATATTATTTTTTTTCGATAGAGAGAAAAAAACTGTTATTTAATTCACAGACAAATAACTAAACAGGTCTACAGACACTACAGTATAAAATAACGCCAACTCTTACTTCTCATGCCAAATATCACCACAATGATACGCTTATTAATTATAATTTATTCTCTAAAGTATCTTTATTGATTATACATGTTAAAAAACTTCTATTCTAAGATAGTCATGATTAAAAAGATACTTTAAAAGATTCAACTTATACTTGTTACAAATAGCTAACTTTTCTTAATTTATTTAAATTAATTTAGTAACTTTTATATTAAGTACTGGAAGTAGTAATTTCTAAAACCATGAGATACAAGTTTTATTTGTGGCCAGAAAATAGCTTCTTCTTCTTTTTTTTGTTTATTTGTAGTAAAATACTATTAGACATGATTTTCGTGCGTTCCGCAGTGTTTAAATAATGATGAATTGCACTTTACATATCCAGCTTATAAATCTATTCATTATATATATCACAGTTGATAGCTTTGCATATATTCTCTAACACTCACTTTCTGATGATTTAAAAATGTGTGTATAATTTTTTTTTAAAAAAATAAACTATCACGCATATGCTGGACAAATTAAATGATGGCAACTAGTAGGGGTCCTCATCCGGCACTCATCACAATGATGCAATCTGGACCATCCAAAATCTTATATGAATGGCTGAGATTTAAAATTTTTAATATGCAATTTTTTCAATAATAATTTTATTTTTTTGAAGAAGTGTTAGTTCTAAAATTATCTTTATTTTAAATTATGTATTTATTAAAACAAAAAATTAAATTAAATATATAAAAAATCTAAATTCAATGTAAACCATCCAAAATTAATCCGTCTAAATTACGATAAGTACAATGATGGGCATGGAATATGCTCCCCTTGTATGGTGCATCGATTGTGAGCACTGATTGCAATCTTCAATATAATATTATACGATATCCTATTCCATGCTATGTAAACTAATTATTAAAAAACAAAATTAATGGTTGACTTGATAAGGTTTATATGATGATAATAATAATTTAATAGCACAAAGAGTAATTAATATAAAAAGTATGCGGACGAAAATTAACATTTCTTGAAGGCAATTGATTGGCATTTTTGGTAATCAAGTAATCAACCAGAAACGAGCTAACAAAATAGTATTTAATAAAGGGTGAGGTCAACTAATTTTGTATGGGATTTGGGTGGAAGAAGAGCCAAAAGTCATTGTGGCCAAAGCACTTGCAAGTTTCATCAATACATATAAATATTTAGCAATATTTGATGGTAAGGGGGTCAGCCAAATCTGAATTTTTTGTAGGAGACAATCTTTGGTGGTTCTTATTACCGGGTTCAATTGAAGTAAAGAAGATTATGAGCAACTTGAAAGAGGTATGAGTTAATGCTGGCCAGCATTTATGTCCCTTCACTCTCTCGTCCAATGCACCATTTGATGATCTACAATT